CCATTCGGGCCGTCGAGACATTCAGTCAACTCATATACAAAGAGATGAATACAAACGTCACTTATATAAATGCCACAAAGATTGACGACTGGCCCCGATTCCAGTACAGGGGCCTACTCTTGGACACAGCCAGACACTACATCCCAGTCGATGTTCTTCTGCTAAACTTAGTCAGTATATCATTATTTATGATTTATACTCTATTTCTCTTTTTATTCGCGTTTTTCTCTTATATTCTTTGCGTTAATAATTCAAAGCAATTCATGAATGCATTAATTCTTCTATTCATTAAAATGTTGTTCACATGAGTTGTTACTTATTTTGAAAGATTTATTCGGCTTTTATGACTATAGATTTATCTGAAAATAAATATTTTAATACATTGTATATTATGATAAACTGAAGCTCTTTACTTTTTAAAACTATAGTTTCATTTAAATATTTTTTGCTTTTAAAAGAGATGTCAGAATATCTCAATTGAAATAGTCATTTGAATTTTGCAAATACTATTCGATAAACTTAATGTATTGAATTGAAACTCACATATTTACTTGTGATCAACTCGTTTTATTATACAGTATATACAAAATGATAGGTTTTTAATAATTTTAACATGAATTTTAAATACCTTAGGCATTTAACAAATACATGTATATTTCATTAAATTTTTGTTTAAAAGTTTAATATAATATTATATATCATTTAAAAATAAATAGAAAAGTATTAAATTTATAATTCAAACCACTAGTCTTTAAAACTTTAATGCTTTAATGCTTATAGCATTCAATTATAATAATACAATTTAATCACATAAACAATACCGCGTTTTACATACAATAATAGGATTTGTAAAAAATTATATTTATTATTATTAAGTTAGTTTTGATATGATTTGTGATTTTCCAAACTATGTTTCGTTTTGAAGTTTTCAGGGCTTTACTCATAGAACAGTATTGTTGTGCATTCAATAGATATTGATTCAAAAATGTTAATAAAAGGATAATAATATGCAATGTTATGCTATGATTAAGTTTTATACTAAATATTTTATATAAAAACGAAACATAATTTGGAAAATCACAAATCATATAACTTATGTATTGTTAGAGTTACGAGTTAGTTACTTTTTTATGATCATAATATTAATACATGTTGATATAACAAATATATGGTATAATAAGATTTTAATTTTTATCAAGAAAAATTATGGTTAAATTAAAATTCCACTGATTTTAGATATGATTTCTAACATAACATCAAAAACAAAATATTATGGAGTTTTCTTGTCTTATGATTTCAATTGGAATTCATTAATAAAATCAAGTTTTTGAAGGTTTAGTGCTAGAAATGCATGTAATTATTAATATTTTATAAAAATTTAGTTTATTTTATATAAACTCTGAGCCAATGCTCTACTTTTACACATAATTCAATACAAACTAATACTGTATTAAGATTTAATTTGAAAGAAGAGATAAACTATAATCAATAATGTACTAATAAACAAGATGACCAAGGTATTACATATTGCAATTTTACTATATTAACATCATACAGTAGTGATATAACTTGTTCACAATCTTAGCTCTATTAATCTTATTAACCTTAAAACTCAATTAAAATTAAATCCACATGAGATTAACAATCCATTAAATAATTGAACTCATATTTAGATTGTATTACATTAAGTAGAGTGTATTAAGCCTATGAGAATACCCTCTGGCTATCATTGATTAATAACTTGTTTATTGATTTATTGGTAACACTTTCAAAGAATATGATCAAATAGTTTTCCATCATTTTTGGGAGAAATCATTTAATTTTTTCGAAACTATTTAATTATATATGAGTTCCCAAAAGTAATCAATTAATGATCCGCTAATTTAGATTAAACGATAAAGTAATGAGTTTTGTTTTTTGCCAACAAATGGTTTTAATGAATTATATTACGTTAAATTATTACATTAAATCTTAATTGAATATCAAAAGATTAGTTATTATTGCCTTTAAATTTAATTATAAGTAAATTTATTACTTTAAGATGTTATTGAGAAATATTTCATTTCTTTTTATTCCTCAAAACAATTGCCAAAAAATCCGATAAATAACACATTTTGGAAGTATTTTAATTGTTAATAATTTGCATAATAAATAATAATTATTGCAAACAAAATACAGTAATGACTAAATCCAATACACATCGACTGTATATCTAAAGTGTGTCAAAAATAAGTTTAAATTTGTGTTAAATTATTCAATGATTACATGATTAGAGATAAAAGTGAACAAAAATAACTCAATTAAAGATTTATACGATATTTATTATGTTTAAATTTAGTAATAATTAAATCATAAAATAAATATAATTTACGTCTAAATTACTAATGAAAAACAGGATGCGATGGCTTATAACAAAATGAATGTCTTTCATTGGCATATAATCGATGACCAGTCGTTCCCATTTGAGAGCAAACTATTTAAAAATTTAACACAATTAGTGAGTAATTATGATAATTAAATAAAATAATTGTAATGAGTTTTGTCGATAATTACATGGGATGGTAGGGCTCCTACAGTCCACAGCACGTGTACAGTCAGCGCGATATCAAACGGATCATTAGTGCGGCACGACTTCGAGGCATAAGAGTTATACCAGAGATCGATACCCCCGGACACACCCAGACCTTTGGTCGAGCCTTTCCCCGTAAATATCACTTTTTCTCTTTTCATTCAATATATGATTATATTTAATGTTATGATTCGTCGACAATAACAATGAGATGCGCTTAAAAAACACAGCGATTTATATCTTTGATATTTTTTGGGTCACATTTCTTATCCCCAAATGATTTCCAGCGAAAGTCGCTATAAATGTCGACCGGGTCCTGCCATGTCATGTATTTGTAGCCAATGTTTCTGACATTTTCTACGGTCCTCTTCACGTAATACTGTTCGAGTTGTGCTGTTGTAGTCATATTCAAGTCGTGCATAAATTTCTTAATCTCTGGGTTTGATTCCCAGCACTCGTAGTAGACTTCATCCATGCCTTCAATTATATATTACAGTAAAGTAAATAAATGTTTGAATGAATTCTCAATAGAATTCTGGACTCAATAAAGCCTTAATAAACAATAGGAATTGTCAGTCAATACAGACCTAAATGAATGAATTCATCGGCGAATACACTCTTGACTTCAGCAAAAAATTGTTTGAAAAAATCATACGTAAAGTTTTGAATGGGATTCAGTATTTCATTTGCCGAGTGTTTTCCATAGACCGACACATTTGGCTCTCCATTAGAGTCATAACAAGTGGTTAATAACTCTGAAAAATATTTAATTTTATTTTAATTACTTTCAATATTTTTGAGCATTTATTCGTTTCATTAAACACTAATCATTTCAAAAGACTTTTAGTACTCATTTGAATATATTTAATATTATAATTCTCTTCTTTTTGCTAAACTCTGTTTACTTTCTTTACTCTTCAATCATTCAAAGCTTTTCACTCCAAAATCAAATTCTATTACTGTTTAAGCAAATAATACACTATTTATATACATATTCTGTAGAATTTCTTTCAATTCTGTAATAAGAATACAGTTTTATAAATAAATTAAACCTTTTTGCGATCCCATTAGGACTCGCTTTAAAATTTAAATTAATGCAAATAAACTGCTAGTTATATAATATGTAAGCAAAAACTGTTTTTGAGACAAATTGTAATTCACAGCAACTGTTCAGTGATTAAACATAAGCTTTACTTTATATTAAAAGAGCATTTCGTGAAGACATACATAACGAAACTTGAAATCCTTTTCTAAGCCTTCTATTTCTGGTTAATTGATTGAAACGAGAAATAAACTGTTCAGTGATTAAACATAAGCTTTACTTTATATTAAAAGAGCATTTCGTGAAGACATACATAACGAAACTTGAAATCCTTTTCTAAGCCTTCTATTTCTGGTTAATTGATTGAAACGAGAAATAAAATGCCATCAAATAAAATGTATTTACCAGTTATTCTCCTGTTTGACTCATACATGTATCTTAAGTGATCAAAAAAATTCATTTTCTGTTTTTTTCAAACAAATCTTTGTTAAAATCTTATGTATTTAATATTTGTTACAAAACGTAATGTTATTTTATGGACAAATCCTTTCAATCGATTTAACACTGCTTTTATTTTTCATTACTTATTGAAAATACAGCAACAAAAATATCCGTTACATTCAATTTTTGTGATTAATTCATCGCAATCTATCATTTGCTCATAAGTTATTCAAAATTTTCTTTTATTGCTTTAAGAAAATAAATAATTATTTTATTTCTTTTGTTTGTTATTCTAGCGATGAAATGAGTGTAATATAGCGATGATGTAAAAGTCTTTTATTTGGTTGGTTGAGAATTGCATTCTATATAATCACACAAACAGTTTCTGTGTATAACGAGTCCCCAAAGAATTGAATTATATTTTCAAGAATTTTCAGAATTATGTCATGTATTCAGCGATTCTTCACTGAATACCAAATAAATGTGATCTCATTTGCGATTCAATCGAAGTTATCATTAGTTTAGTTGTCATACAATAAAGGAGAAAAAGTAGTGTCCGTCGCAAACAAATCATCAATAAATATGGGACACTATATTGTAAACCATTTTCACTTCAATGCTTTAATTTTCTCTATAAATTATCATTAATTTTCTCCCATATTATAAGTGGAGAAATTATAGCATAAAAACTTATGTCTTTCTTAATAATATATTTTATAATATTATTTTCTATTATAAAGAGGTAAGTTAACATTTATGTTATTTGTTGTTTAAATTACAGAAAATGTAACACAAGTTCTGGAGTTCTTTTGTGAAAAACTCAATATTATACTTCTTATTGATTTTATTTTCTTCTTATGTTTTGTGTGAGAAATAATTTTTTGTATATTTCTGTTTCACTCGTTATTTTATTTGTTTTTAAAAATTCAAAACAACTTATTTTCACAAAAAATAGTTTTTAACAAATATTATTTCCATAATAAGCGTTTTAAATGTTAAAAATGTAAATGAAAAACAAATTCTATGCAAAAATATAATCTAAAATGTATTGATTTTTTGTATTTATTCTATAAAATCTCCGGTCTTTTGCGACAAAGTTTAGCATTTAATCTATAAATCTTTGGATAAGCAAAAAATGTGCCAAAATTATTGACAAAAAACAGATTTTTTTGGTCAAAATGTTGAACCTATTCTGTACTGTAATCAACATTTGTCTCATAAACACAAAAGCGTTAGTAAATGATATAATTTATAGTTAATTTATAGCGACTTTCGCTGGAAATCATTTGGGGATAAGAAATGTGACCCAAAAAATATCAAAGATATAAATCGCTGTGTTTTTTAAGCGCATCTCATTGTTATTGTCGACGAATCATAACATTAAATA